TGGTATGTGACTGATTCCCCCAGCAGTATCCCTGGCATGTGACTGACTCCCCCAGCTGTATCCCTGGTATCTGACTCACAGCCCCAGCAGTATCCCTGGTATGTCACTGACAGCCCCAGCAGTATCCCTGGTATGTGACTGACTCCCTCAGCAGTATCTCTGGTATGTGACTGATTCCCCCAGCAGTATCCCTGGTATGTGACTGCCTCCTCTAGCTGTATCCCTGGCATGTGACTGACTGCCCCAGCTGTATCCCTGGTATGTCAATAACTCCCCCAGCAGTATCCCTGGTATGTGACTGACTTCTCTAGCTGTATCCCTGGTATGTGACTGACTCCCAGAGCTGTATGCCTGGTATGTCACTGACTCCCCCAGCTGTATCCCTGGTATGTCACTGACAGCCCCAGCAGTATCCCTGGTATGTGACTGATTCCCCCAGCTGTGTCCCTGGTATGTCACTGACTCCTCCAGCAGTATCCCTGGTATGTCACTGACTCCCCCAGCTGTATCCCTGGTATGTCACTGACTCCCACAGCAGTATTCCTGGTATGTGACTGATTCCCCAAGAAGTATCCCTGGTATGTCACTGACAGCCCCAGCAGTATTCCTGGTATGTGACTGACTCCCCCAGCAGTATCCCTGGTATGTGACTGACTCCTCCAGCTGTATCCCTGGAATGTGACTTACTCCCCCAGAAATATCCCTGGTATGTGACTGATTCCCCGAGCAGTATCCCTGGTATGTGACTGACTCCCCAAGCAGTATCCCTGGTATGTCACTGACAGCCCCAGCAGTATCCCTGGTATGTGACTGACAGCCCCAGCAGTATCCCGGGTATGTGCCTGACTCCCCCAGCAGTATCCCTAGTATGTGACTGACTCCCCCAGCAGTATCCCTGGTATGTGACTGATTCCCCGAGCAGTATCCCTGGTATGTGACTGATTCCCCGAGCAGTATCCCGGGTATGTGCCTGACTCCCCCAGCAGTATCCCTAGTATGTGACTGACTCCCCCAGCAGTATCCCTGGTATGTGACTGATTCCCCCAGCAGTATCCGTGGTATGTGACTGACTCCCCCAGCTGTATCCCTGGTATCTGACTCACAGCCCCAGCAGTATCCCTGGTATGTCACTGACAGCCCCAGCAGTATCCCTGGTATGTGACTGACTCCCTCAGCAGTATCTCTGGTATGTGACTGATTCCCCCAGCAGTATCCCTGGTATGTGACTGCCTCCTCTAGCTGTATCCCTGGCATGTGACTGACTGCCCCAGCTGTATCCCTGGTATGTCAATAACTCCCCCAGCAGTATCCCTGGTATGTGACTGACTTCTCTAGCTGTATCCCTGGTATGTGACTGACTCCAAGAGCTGTATGCCTGGTATGTCACTGACTCCCCCAGCTGTATCCCTGGTATGTCACTGACAGCCCCAGCAGTATCCCTGGTATGTCACTGACTCCCCCAGCTGTATCCCTGGTATGTCACTGACTCCCACAGCAGTATTCCTGGTATGTGACTGACTCCCCAAGCAGTATCCCTGGTATGTCACTGACTCCCCCAGCTGTGTCCCTGGTATGTCACTGACTCCTCCAGCAGTATCCCTGGTATGTCACTGACTCCCCCAGCTGTATCCCTGGTATGTCACTGACTCCCACAGCAGTATTCCTGGTATGTGACTGATTCCCCAAGCAGTATCCCTGGTATGTCACTGACAGCCCCAGCAGTATTCCTGGTATGTGACTGACTCCCCCAGCAGTATCCCTGGTATGTGACTGATTCCCCAAGCAGTATCCCTGGTATGTGACTGACTCCTCTAGCTGTATCCCTGGTATGTGACTGACTCCTCTAGCTGTATCCGTGGGATGTGACTGACTCCCCCAGAAGTATCCCTGGTATCTCACTGACTCCCCCAGCAGTATCCCTGGTATGTCACTGACTCCCCCAGCAGTATCCCTGGTATCTAACTGACTCCCCCAGCAGTATCCCTGGTATCTGACTCACAGCCCCAGCAGTATCCCTGGTATGTGACTGACTCGCCAAGCAGAATCCCAGATACGTCACTGACTCCCCTAGCAGTATCCCTGGTATGTCAATGACTCCTCCAGCTGTATCCCTGGTATGTGACTGACTCCCCCAGCTGTATCCCTGGTATGTGACTGACTGCCCCAGCAGTATCCCTGGTATGTCACTGACAGCCCCAGCAGTATCCCTGGTATGTGACTGACTCCCCCAGCAGTATCTCTGGTATGTGACTGATTCCCCCAGCAGTATCCCTGGTATGTGACTGACTCCTCTAGCTGTATCCCTGGTATGTGACTGACTCCCCCAGCTGTATCCCTGGTATGTGACTGACTGCCCCAGCAGTATCCCTGGTATGTCACTGACTCCCCCAGCAGTATCCCTGGTATGTTACTGACTCCCCCAGCTGTATCCCTGGTAACTGACTCACAGCCCCAGCAGTATCCCTGGTATGTCACTGACAGCCCCAGCAGTATCCCTGGTATGTGACTGACTCCCCCAGCAGTATCTCTGGTATGTGACTGATTCCCCCAGCAGTATCCCTGGTATGTGACTGACTCCTCTAGCTGTATCCCTGGTATGTGACTGCCTCCTCTAGCTGTATCCCTGGCATGTGACTGACTTCTCTAGCTGTATCCCTGGTATGTGACTGACTCCCAGAGCTGTATGCCTGGTATGTCACTGACTCCCCCAGCTGTATCCCTGGTATGTCACTGACATCCCCAGCAGTATCCCTGGTATGTGACTGACTCCCCCAGCTGTGTCCCTGGTATGTCACTGACTCCCCAAGCAGTATCCCTGGTATGTGACTGACTCCCCCAGCTGTATCCCTGGTATGTCACTGACAGCCCCAGCAGTATCCCTGGTATGTGACTGACTCCCCCAGCTGTGTCCCTAGTATGTCACTGACTCCCCCAGCAGTATCCCTGGTATGTCACTGACTCCCCCAGCTGTATCCCTGGTATGTCACTGACTCCCACAGCAGTATTCCTGGTATGTGACTGATTCCCCAAGCAGTATCCCTGGTATGTCACTGACAGCCCCAGCAGTATTCCTGGTATGTGACTGACTCCCCTAGCAGTATCCCTGGTATGTGACTGATTCCCCAAGCAGTATCCCTGGTATGTGACTGACTCCTCTAGCTGTATCCCTGGTATGTGACAGACTCCTCTAGCTGTATCCCTGGCATGTGACTGACTCCCCCAGAAGTATCCCTGGTATCTCACTGACTCCCCCAGCAGTATCCCTGGTATGTCACTGACTCCCCCAGCAGTATCCCTGGTATCTAACTGACTCCCCCAGCAGTATCCCTGGTATCTGACTCGCAGCCCCAGCAGTATCCCTGGTATGTGACTGACTCGCCAAGCAGAATCCCTGATACGTCACTGACTCCACCAGCAGTATCCCTGGTATGTCACTGACTCCTCCAGCTGTATCCCTGGTATGTGACTGACTCCCCCAGCTGTATCCCTGGTATGTGACTGACTGCCCCAGCAGTATCCCTGGTATGTCACTGACTCCCCCAGCAGTATCCCTGGTATGTTACTGACTCCCCCAGCAGTATCCCTGTTATGTGACTGACTCCCCCAGATGTATCCCTGGTATGTCACTGACTTCCAAAGCAGTATCCCTGGTATCCGGCTGACTCTTCTAGCTGTATCCCTGGTATGTCACTGACTCCCTAAGCAGTATCCCTGGTATGTCACTGACTCCTCTAGCTGTATCCCTGGTATGTCATTGACTCCCCCAGCAGTATCCCTGGTATGTCACTGACTCCCCAAGCAGTATCCCTGGTATGTCACTGACTTCTCTAGTTGTATCCCTGGTATGTCACTGACTCCTCTAGCTGTATCCCTGATATGTGACTGACTCCCCAAGCAGTATCCCTGGTATGTCACTGACTCCTCTAGCTGTATCCCTGGTATGTCACTGACTCCCCAAACAGTATCCCTGGTATGTCACTGACTCCTCTAGCTGTATCCCTGGTATGTCACTGACTCCCCCAGCTGTGTCCCTGGTATGTGACTGACTCCCCCAGCAGTACCCCTGGTATGTGACTGACTCCCCCAGCAGTATCCCTGGTATGTGACTGACTCCCCCAGCAGTATCCCTGGTATGTGACTGACTCCCCCAGCAGTATCCCTGGTATCTCACTGACTCCCCAACAGGATACTTGCGAACGTGCGCACTCCTCTGCTGGATAAATGGGAACTTATCGACTCTGGATGCTGGGCTCTCCGAAAGATTCAATTATCGTAATTATTTTAGTTTTGAGAAAGTAAACATTTAAGAGACTGTGACGTGAAATATACAGCGTTGTGTTTTCCACTGAACTGAAAAACACACAACCATCATAATGGGCTGTGTTTGATGTGATTTGTGTTTTTCAGACGTTCAAATGAGACCAGTCAGGAAAATATACGTAAGTGTTAAACCAAGTTGGAATATTTAGGCAATGAAAACAATTTTAAAACCTCGTCTTTTTCAAAAACATCTTTGATAATTAATTGCATGGTTGCATACTGATGACTTTCCTAGAATTGAAGCAAGCCTATACAGCAGGAGTGCTTTTCATATACTACCCAAAGAAGTTAAAGAGCAAGGTGTTTTTGAAAAGGCTTATCGCTTTTCTGACATGTGAAACATTCGGGTGTTCTGTTTCGTAGTATAAATGCTTCTTGTAATAACTTTCACCACCCTACTAGATAACAATGAAGATTTGTGGACGTGACTATACATACATCTGGACCACACTGGCGGCCCAAGGGGTAGTCATGATGGCCTAGCTGTTGCCTGTCGAGAACAGTCCGGGCTCGTGTTGTCCTAAAACCTCGTCGATTGCCCAAGCGCTTCAGGGTCAGCAAGGATTCGTGTCTTAGCTGTTCATAACTATTTGTGTCCCCCGACAGTGATAAGCTTGTTTTGTCGGGGTGCTAAACTGTTTTTGTGTTTCATGTTTTTTTATAAACCCTCTTCTTTTCAGCTTTGCACATCATGGGACAAGGAGCTAATGTCAGCACAGTATTTGAAACTCCTGGCCAGCAGGGCAATGGTGGTGAGGTTGAAGAGTGTGACTTAAACCTGACTCTGAAGGCTAATCTTAAATCCGTGCAAAAATAGTTATGTATAGATAAAACAACGTCGGCTCAGAACAAGATGTACTTTCCCTTCTCCCAACCGAGGATGCTTCCTCTAATTGACCTGAGAACGTTTCAGATTCTGAAGATCTTTTATAACCGCCGTCTTTAAAAACACATGTGAAACAAGATTGCACTGGTATAAGTTTATACCAAATATAGTTCACATTAAGACAATCAAACCTATTAACTCCATCGGTGTGTATTTATTTCTCATCAGGTTAAAAAATAAGATATCAAATGCCCTCAGCTTTCTGATATGCCTGTAATAGGTATGGTTTAGAAAACATGAATGTATGGCAGTTGCCTAAACATGTGTTAATAATCTAATTTGTGTTATAGTGACACCGTATTACGAAGGAGAGGAACCACATGGAAACACCGACCTCCATGACGCATGCAATAGAGGGAACTTGTCCCAGGTGAAATCCATCTTGTCTCAAGGGAGTGTGGACATCGACCGTAGAGGAACGGATGGAAGAACTGCCGTGATGTTGGCAGCTCATTGGGGAAATAGTGCCATCTTCAACGTTATTATAGAGAAAAAACCTGATGTATCAAAGTTTGATAAACTTGGTAACAGTATCCTTCATCTTGCCTGTTTGGGTGGAGATATGAAAATAGTGAAATATGTCCTGTCACAGAACATGGCGGACATCAACAGCAAAAACCAAAATGGAGAGACACCAGTGATGTTGGCAGCATTGCAAGGACAAAAACAATTGCTTTTGTTCTTACTCGGTCAGCATGCTGATATGTCACCATTGGACAATGCCGGTAACAACATCCTTCACTTGGCATGTTGTGGAGGGAATATTGAGGTAGTAAATTATGTCCTGTTGCAGAACATTGTCCACATCGACAGTAGAGGCCGTGAGGGGAAGACGCCCGCGATGATGGCTGCAGAGAAGGGACGAAAGTCTGTGCTGGATTTACTTAAAAGTAACGGAGCTGATTTGTCTTTAAAGGATAACTTCAGTAACGACGTTTATCAGCTTGCCAGACGTAACGGACATGAGGAACTGATAAGTAAAGCAGCTCCCAGGACCCGTGGCTGCGAGGTGATGTAGATGTAGCCAAGGACACGCTGAAACAGCACTGAGTCGAATTCTTCTCTTCTGAGGCTATTAGTCACATGTATTGATGTGCATGTGCATAAGTTACGTTGTGTACTATGAAGGATACTGCGCAGCAAAAGAAACAGAGGTCAGACATTCGTGTAAGAGTTTTGAAGAAAAGACAATGCAGTGGTGTCAAATCACAGTCAGTATGTGAGCTGAGGGTAAGTACAGAACTTCAAAGGGAGATAAGCCTCCTCAATAGCGAGTATGGTCGCTTTGGGCTAGAGACATTGTCATGGACATCACTCGACATCCTTGCTGTATGAGCATGTGCGTTGTCCAGTTGAACGAAAACACTACAGTGGGCATGTGCGTCACACATTGGAACAAAGTGAAGACGAAGAACTTGATCCCAATACACAACAGTAGTAACAGGTTGTGGGAAGACAAGAAGCTTGGACCTGTGGTTGTACCTGAAAACTGCCTTAACCAGCCCACTTCCACCACTCCAAGAGGAAAAGTTAAACCATAAAATGTACACTGTGGAACCTACATAAAAATATGTACTTCCTTAGAAGAACGCATTTCGTGCTGGACAACATGGTCTGATCACTTAGCTTAACTGCCCGCCGTCAAAGACTTCACAAATGGATAAAGGGAGGTAACTCTGTCTCACCTACAGATGAAAAGCACAGATGTCATCTCACCACTATCACAAAACTCGTACAAAGTCACCAGCTAACATGGTTCTTTGCTGATCGATCACATTCTGATCCACGCTTACAACAGCTACACAGGATCGATGTATAAGATCCCGTCATCTGAGGAACAGAACTCCAGCAGCAACACCAACAGCAGCTGTGTAGTTCAGGGATCAAGGGGAACAGAATCAGTGGACACGAACACGACGTCTGCAGACTGCCCAACTCCACTGTCTCAGTGTTTGGCTGCACAAGCTGCTGACTTTCCGGCCTGTAACAGTGCAGAGGTTATTCGTCTTTGGCATCGCTGACTTCAACTGCAGAATGTCTTTTGTCAATAGTGAATCCACCTTCATAAAGGATGCCCTGGAATGAAAATGCATCTGTTTTACCCTGTATCATGACTGCGTGTGCACAATACAGCTTTCGGTGGTTTAGTAATGTCTGTTGGGCAATCGACACCAAGGCCATGACAAAAGCCGACATGAGTTTACTCTCTTGAGTTTACTCCCGATCCAGTAACCTCTCTGTATGCCTACCATCCTGAAGAACAATCATCAACTCAAGCCATGAAGAGAAAGAAACAAGATTGAAGGAAACAACAAGAATCTCTCCAATGCCAACTTTCCTGATGAAATTTCCCATTCAAGATTTTGTTCATACACAGGACCAAAGAAGAATACACGCCTATCCCACAGCCATCATCATGGAGACCCTGCACAATACAGAAGTCGCCTCATGGGCACCAACAAGATGGACACTGTGTACAAGATATCTCATTGGGACTCACTAATGTGTGTTTACTTACATGGACTCAATCAAGTATATATATTGTGTGACTGTTGAATAGTGCAACCAGGTATGTTTAATCAAAGCCAGTATATTAATGCCAAAAGGTGTCTTTCAAAAATTCAGTTTTGAATATGTGCAGTATACTCCAATTTTACATCTTTACTCAGGCTAGTTCTTTGAACTTATTGTGTAGGGAATCTTTGAAATGCCTCCAGGCCACGCCAGACATATAGATACAGCTAGGCCCCAGACAAGCCTGAGATGTAGGGCTATCGAGTCACCTTAAAGTTAGACTCGTAATTTCAAAAATAAGCCACCCCCACACATATGTATATTGTATGTCAGTATTAAGTAATTAACAGCACAGCAGTATTCAGCATTTCAGAGTTTGGATTATTTTTCTTTGGCATAGCACCCACAATATCTGGGTAAGCTCCGTCAAAGGCACGAGAAGAGCACCCATTGTACTTAAAAGGCCAAAAGTACCAATAAAATACCGTTTGAGTCGCGCGATAAGTTAGACTCCTGGTTTCAAATTTCGTTATGCGAAATAGTTGCTGAGATGTTTAATTCGTACTTTTTATGACCTTACTCATTATCATTATTCGGTACTGGGTCGCACAGCCAAGCCAGGCTCCTGAATTAACAGAGGTGAGGTGAAATGGGGTTAAACGTCGCGTCCAAGCCTATTGCACTTATATAGCGACGTGCATGTTCGTGTGTGTGTTAGTGTGGCTGCTTGTACTAGTTCGGACTGATGCCGATTTATAGTGCTAGCTCACTGAGATACCATGCCGCAGTTTTTAATATGAGTACCCTACTCAAACACAGTATACTGACCCCGAGCCGACCAGTCATTGTTTTAGCCTCTTAATGCCGAGCGCCAGACAGGGTCACAACAAGTACCATCTTTTAACGTCTTTTGGCGTGACGGCCGGGGACGCTCTACCACTAGACCAAGGAGGCGATCCTGAATTCAAAGAACCTTCAGTGATATATTTATTGATTCTGTGCAAAGTTGTATTTACCTCGTAGTGAAATTGCACATTATAAAGAATACTTGGTCAATGTAACAAAAATTATATTTGGGATATCGTTGTGTGTTCAATACTTGGTTAGTTTTCAAACTGGCACTAAATCAAACTGGCTAGATGATCACTTTCACATCTACCTTGAATAGGTATATGTGTTGCGCGTTGACATGTGTATCTTTCTGCTATAGTCTGCCAATACAAGCCATCTAACAAATGATGTTTTCCTTCTTTTCCTTCTCAGGTTTTGTTAAAACACGTGCATTTGACCTGAGTCACTTTTATTAACAGTTGACTCACACAGCTCACTGGTCATCTCCTGCTTAGGGTAATACTTTGCGAAAGATTCTACCAGAAAAAAGGTCTGAGCTCCAGCAGAAGTTAACCTGTTGGTGACTTGCACACGTGCCATTTTGTATGATACGAGCTATCAAGGATCACGTTTTTGTTATACTTAAGGCCCATTATAAAACACACTGGATTACATTACAATGACGGGATCATCCCGTGTCCAAAGATTACATATGGAATCCTGGAAGGGAGATTGTCGCGTTGTCAACTTTACAAAAACATGCAAAATGGCCATGTGTCGCATTGTCACCTTGTCGCTGTGTCGCGCGTGGAATAATATCATATTTTACCAAAGGGCGACAATGCGACAATTTCCCTCAATGTCACGTTGTCGCATTGTCGCCCCATCTCAAATGTGTGAACCAGGTGTTAAAACTGCGCGACAACGGCATATATCAATATTACGGCATGACGTCACATTGCTTCATTGCTGACAATTATGGGCATGACGTCACATTGCTTCAGTGGTGAGCATCAAACGGTAACGTCACTTGATTCTGTGATGAGAATAATTAAGAATTGACTTTCACTTTGTGTGAGTTTATTTGAGTATGTACTTTCGTCGAGTGAGGGCCAAAGTGTATGAACGTCGGAGCAATTTTATACCTCGAGCGATGTAGCGCTAGATTCATACGTGTGACTGTTTACACCGACAGACATACAACAACCACCCGAAAAAATAGTTCCAAGTAAGTATTTTAATAAACACAATAGTTATTCCTTTGTCAAATAATGAGTGAGTGAGTGAGTGAGTTTTAACGCCGCTGTTAGCAATATTCCAGCAATATCACGGCGGGGAACACAAGAAATGGGGTTAACACATTGTACCCATGTCGGGAATCGACGCAGGGTCTTCGGCGTGACGAGCGAACGCTTTAAAGATAACCACTAGGCTAAGCGTAAACCCATACTCACTCACTCACTTTGATCGTCAGTTACGCGGTCATGCGACCGGCCTCTCTTCCAATAGAAAAGTCGTATGTCGTGTGAACTTCAAATTAAAAAATAAATTATTTGGCACGAGGTCGTTCATGGAACATCGAAGTGGATGAAGTAGGACGATGGACGAGATGGGTAGAGGTAGCGAGTGAAGGTTGTGTAGATTGTGTGTAAAGCTGACTGGCAGCACACCCAGCCTCCAGGCGGTGATGTTCAGGTTGACCTTGTGTAGCGATTCCGTCATTCTCCGGAAAAATAACAACACTTATATCATATGTATATATTTATCATGCAGTAGGTTGGTATGGAATGACGTTGTCTTGCATGGTAACGTTGTTGTAGGAGGTCTAGGATTCGAATCAACAATGATATTTTCCTGGCCCGCCTAAAAGACGTGACTCTGCGTGGCGAAATGCTGAACCAAATCACCTCTGCTCACATGTTCATGGTAAGATATTTATAATGTATAGGAACCTTTTTTGCAATATTCCAGAAAAAGCATGATACAAATTTATTCATATGGTAGTCGCTTGAGCATTTTATTTATAGTGCCTACATGCACATCGTCACCAAATTGAACATTGATCAACATGTATTTTACATATTCAGGTACACCATGCCATTTCTTCAGATCTTAGTACGTAATGGCTCATTTCGTCATCTACACACTACGTCAAGCTTGGTGAGTGAGTGAGGAGATAAAACATACTGTGTGTTCACTGTACAGCCAGGTAACATGTAGATGTAACCGCGCTGAATTGAATTTGGATCCGAACGCGCAGCTTTCTCATTTAACGATCTAATTGGGAGATAAGTTATTAGTGCTATGAAATGTTCAGAAATAGTAAGATTTTGCAACCCGCAATTACAGGGTTACAAGCTCTCGGAATAAAATTTATTCCGGTTAAGCACATATAGAATCAGTTTAAAATGTTACATCCGTACCGTGCAAGCTGATACTTTATATCGAATTTCCAACATAGCAAAATGTCCTCTCGTGGTGTTCAGAAATTGACTTTGATGATACTGTCATTAAAATCAGATCTTAGATCTCACTTCCGCTAAACAATTATCTGAGGACATCCCATTACAGGTCACGCCAGAACGACCTTCCGCGAACTTTGACCGACCAGTGAAATGACAGTAAACTAGTCGACAGTCCCATTGTAGAATGGTGTAATAGGCCTTTGATAATCTGTTTTTTTGAACAGCTGGTATTGTGTCAGTAGTGAACAAGATATTTTGGAGATAGTTGTTCCAATAGCACAATATTTATTGAGGAGATACAGTTTTTGTAATTCGTTGACAACCAATGGATACTGAGAAAACCTGTCATGTAACTCGTTGATAAATAGCAACAAAGTAAGAAGAGGCAGATGATTGAAAAGACTTCTTGGCATCTTGAAATGAGATGCTCCGCTCATGTTTCAATTTTACAACTTTAGTTTCACGTTTCCAAGTTGGGCAAACATTAGAAGATGAATAGTGTTTCCCAGAGCAGATGAGGGCATTCAGAGCTGTTGGCACAACTGCCACCACATCGACGACAAGCAGTCTGCATGACTCCGACCCATGGCAATATTGCAGGTTATTGTAGCTCTCAAGGTGGACGAGGGATGAACATATCCAAACTGATGTTACAGTAACTTGATTTATCATATAATCGGTAGGTTTCTCGGCAGGATAAAGCCAACGGATAAAAACGATATCCGTTGGGGTCATATGCGGATAGAGATGCAAATATCAAAGGTCAAGTAGGGACTACTTTCACTGTTTATAAACAAACATGGCGTCGCCCTTGTCATTCGGCGATCGAGTCAGAATTAACCATCGGGAATCTGGATAAACTACAGAGATAATTGCTATCATTATCAAAAGAACAGTCTAATATACTGAAAATCAGTGTCTAACTGACGTAGCGAAGGCATTTTATAAGTTTTGGCAACTTTGGAGAAACAATTTTGCGAGGGCACGAGGCCTGGCCAAGCGGGATCAGTAGCCATATCTGTGCTTGTAGACCTCTCCTAAAATTAAAATAGTTGGATTTGGCCGGAATATGTTTGAATTGTTACCTTGTTTCGCTTTGTCGCTGTGTGTACATCTGACTACACTGCTTAACGTTATGACAGGACAGACAGACTGTCAACAATGTCTGACTGTGGCCGTGACGTCTCGTAGACTAGGTTTAGAGTAGTTTCCCTTTGATAAAGGGCAGTTACTCTAGCAGACAGACCGATGGATTGCCGCGAAAGGCAATTAAAAACAATTGTTGTTTTGCGTATATATTGCTTCGCCACTGTATAAGAAACAGATTTCAGTTGGAACTATATTGGCTACTGTCACTGTCCGACTGACACATCACTTACCCTGTGACGTAATAAATATTAATGCGCGCATTCCAGGAAAACTCGCAATGTTTCGATAATGTTTATAAGAGAGGGAAAGCGATTTTGAAGCACAGAATTAAAGAATGACATTATATGATGAAGAGGTTATCACGCTTGTGTGTTTGGGGATGGTAAATATCCTGTATTAGGAATAAACACTGTGTATTTAGCTCGCCAAGGCTCGGTAAATACAATGTTTATTCCTAATGCAGGATATCTACCATCCCCAAACACACTCGCGTGATAACTTCTATTTATATGAATACAAGATAAAAAGGAGTCAAACGTTGAAAGCGTTGGTTGTAACAACCTCATTATGTATGTCTCCTGGAAGAAACACGCGTCACAGGTGTCACTCGTTGACCATTCAGTTCATCTACAATGTCGTCCTCGTCATACCTGCCAGGAATCGACATCTATCGCTTCCGGTTATTGAGATATAAATAAATAAGCGACAAAACCATTTCGATGATCTGCACTAAACCTGAGTCCATTTACCATTCCACCATGAGCACGTGGACTCCCTATACAGTAGCTATGACACCAGGTGGTCGCGAAAATGTGACCGTATCCCGCGCCACCGGTGCGTCGCGTCACAAACACATGCAAAGGCAGATCAATACGGCTCGATACTTCCGGGAATTATTGTTGTCTGTAGTTACCAAATCCAGATGATGGATTCAGGCTGATATTTTACGGTTCAAGTGTAAGTCGGCACAGAGCAAGAGAACAGAATTAAAAACTTGGGCTATCAGGTCACTGTAAATAATAATAATAATAACTTGTGGCCTCAGGCCACTTTAAAGTTTACATGAGGAGGACATATAAAGGGTAGACAGTGAAACAAGGTACAGAGCGTAAGTCAGTCGGCCTGTGTACCTGGACCTGACGGAGTAGTCTCCCTTGTACCGTTCAGCACTTATACACATACAACTATGACTAACGATCACTGGTGTAACCCGCACCCGGCATGTGTGTTGACAATGCATTATTGGAGCTCAGCCTGGTGAACCTGAAACTGACGGAGTAGTCTCCCTTGTACCGCGCACAGTAAGCAGTGGTTAATGCACTGTGGCTGTATTGGTGCGACTGAACTAACGGCGATAAGACTCTGGTTTTTTGACTCGACTGTAATAGTGCATTGATGAATGATGTGTGACGTGTGAGATATAATCACACTGTATAAACATGAAATTTGATAATGCAGCCCCAGATATCATACAACTGATGTCTACCGTATACATGACAGTGAGTGACCAGTGTAATCTCACCACACTGTACAAACATGTAATGTGATAACGCAGACCGATATATTATACAACAGATGTCTACCGTATACATGACAGTGTGTGACCAGTGTAATCTCACCACACTTTACAAACATGTAATTTGATATGGCAGATCGAGATATCATACAACTGATGTATACCGTATACATGACAGTGTGTGACCAGTGTAATCTCACCACACTGTACAAACATGTAATTTGAAATGGCAGATCGAGATATCATACAACTGATGTGTACCGTATACATGACAG